ACACAGGCACACACAGACACACACTCCTAAGGGAATGAGAGATACAGTATCCAGCAAAACTGAATCAGAGTGGCTCCAGGTTTGAGGGCATCCCACACAGAAGGGAAATGCTGGTATGAAAACAGGGATACTAAGCCCTGGCTGGTGTGGCTCAGTGGTTTGAGTGCTGCCCTGCTAAACCAAAGGGTCGCCGGTTCAATTTCCAGTCAGGGCACATGCCTGGGTTCCAAGGCTAGGTCCCCAGTAGGGGGTGTAAGGGGCAACCACACATTGCTGTTTCTCTCTTTCTCCTTCCCTTTTCCTCTCTCTAAAAATAAATATAAAAATCTCTTAAAAAAAAAAAACAGGGAGACTAAGTGAAAATTTATAAACTGAATGGTGAGACTTGTAGCTTTCTTCCTCTACCCAGGACTACTAATTACCCTGCCATCTAAACTCATAACCTCTGCCAATCCCCTCCTCTCTTCACTATTACACTTACACACAAACAGAAAAATGAAGGACTTTTATCTGAAGAAACTGAGAATCTTCTTCTTATTCACCACCAGAGAAAAGAAGTAAAAGTAAAAACATGGGAGTTCATTAATCACTAGGCCATGTGCTCGTGCATGCCCAGTGAGCTTCCTATTGCCTTTGAAACTTTCTCTTGATTATGAAGGAACTGCTAAGGATCACACAGATATGAAGAAAGCCTCCAACAACAAGAGACCAAAACAAACAGAAAAGAAGTCGGAGGAACAACAACAACAACAAAAAACAGCAAAAACAGAAGAACATGTCAAAAAAACCATGATTAATACCCTTGAAGAGATCAAAAACGTACCCCACGAAAAAGGAACAAGATGCTATAATACAGTAACAAAGAACAAGAGCTCATCAAACATTTTTTAAGATACTTAAAATGTTAAAATCCAGTGAAAGGGTTCACATCTCCCAGAAAGTTAAACGAAAGACTATTTGAAGATCAAATTTTGAAACATTAACATTGCAAGCCAGGCAATAAGGGAAGACCTCCAAACTTTTGAGGGAATATGATTTCCAACATAGAAATCTCTCAACAGTCAACCAATCAAGTGTGAGAGTAAAAATAAAATCCCAAAACATATTTCCATTCAGTCTTTCATACTAATAGTAGAGAAAACCAAACAAAGGAATAAAGCAAAAGACACAGGATCCAAAAAAAAAAGGACTCAACTAAAACTAAAGAAATTCCCAGAATGTCAGCTAAGGGAAGTCCCAAAATGACAGCTTTGCAGCATGCCTAAAAGGAAACAATCTAGACCAAAGCAGGAAGAAAGAAAGGTACAGAAGGGATGGATGGCTACAGGAACAAATGGAACTAGTAATAATATCTGACAGATCTGACCATGTGGAAAATTATACTGAGATGCATTTTTTTAAACTGCTGGAGAGTACATAAAGGCTTTGCCAGACAAAACTAACCAAATGAAAAAATGAGGCATGAAAAACAAAAGATTACACAAGAACAAAACAACAAAAGAAAATGAATTCTTGGTAAACTATCCCAGTAGTGATAAATATTTGGTCATAATGATGAAAACTATGAATACAAACTTAACCTAAAATGATGGAATAACAATATTAGAAAGATGGGGAAAGTCTAGTTTGAAAACCTTTTGAACAGCTACCCCTTTAAAATCACTGAAATTTCTACCTCAAATTAATCAATTCTGAGAAGAGCCTCTGTTTTCATTAGAGTTAAATTCTGTAACTACACTTTCAAGTCAGAAATTCTGTAAAATGCTCTAGTTTTGTCTTGGGATATTTTACAGGGTCATTCTAAGAAAATAAAGTTAATAAGTGAAAAGCAAACACTAACGAAAATTAGAAGATATATATATGTTTTATTGGTTACTGGAATCAGTTAAGGTATTTTGTTACCTAATAATGTGTTTGTTCTGTCATTTGTTATAACATAACTCTAAATGTTGTATACCTTTAGTACCTGTTCCACTTTTACTGCCACATCTACTGATTCAGTAAGCAATTCCGTCTTACAGGAAAATAAACTATGAACTGTTCAGCAAATTACCTCTGTAAGAACCAAAGCCTGATTACTTACTAGTTTCAAAAATCTAAAGTGTTTTGCACATTATATTTTACAATAACTTTTAGTTGATAACTCAAGCTATCATGCCAGACAGCTGCATCACTGACAGAGGCTTTAGGTGTGTAACACATCAACCCGTACTAAGTTGGCCTACTCTGGTATGTTTTTATAATTCTCTTGTTCATCACTCCTAACTTTCAAATCTACTGTCAATCAATCCTTCCTCTATCTAAATTGACACACCTTTTAATTTGTTATGAGGTTAACAAAAATAAATTATCATTCTTCTGACTCAAATAAAACCGACTAAATGCCCTGCCAAGCCCTTTCATATACATTTTCATTTAACACAATTAGCAATCTTTACTAAAGACAAAAAGACCAAAAAAAAAAAAAAGTCCTACTACAAATAAAGGAGTTTAACTGCTTAATGAAGTTGAGAGGATAGACCTTTTTTATTTTTGTTTGTTTTTTGAAGGAAGGATTTATCCCTTGCTTAGGTGTCTTAATAGCTAACTTCTAGTTCTGATCCAGATTGTTCAATCAGTGAGCTATAGGATAATTGAGGGGGTGCACTGAACCATCCTATGAACTATCCAACTTAGAGTAACACTAAAAAGAAGTATATATACCTAAAACAAAATATCTGGTTATCCATCCACTAAGATTTTTACAAAAAGCCCAGAGAAATAAGAACTATATTACAAAGTAGGACTTTTATATGCGCAATCATCACTATACTGAATGTATTATATAATCATACTATTTTAATACCACTGTTGCTTATGAATCTTCCTTAATTAATTAAAACAGAACCTTAATTCGGTTATATGAGAGCTTTAGGATATAGGCACCTCCCAAATTAATATTTTCACCATTAAATTTACCCTCAAGACAGAAAAGCAAACCCCCTTTTAATTTTTAGTTTTTCTCAATAAAAATAGCAGCATTTTTGTAAAAAAAAAAAAGAAAGAAAGAAAATCTCACAAGTGTTAATATTCTAGTCATTAATCAAAGAAACCTAAATAGGTCACAGAAAAACATCTTCCCCACATGGTTTTTTAAAAAGATTTTATGTATTTATTTTTAAAGAAAGAGGGAAGGGAAGAAGAGAGGGCAAGTAACATCCATAGGTTGCCTCTCATGCCACTGAACCCACAACCCAGGCATGTGCCCTAACTGGAATAGAACCAGTGACCTTTCCCCTTTGGAGAAGAACACCCAACCAACAGAGCCACATGGGGCAGGACTTCCCCACATCTTAATGAAAAGCTAAAAGCTATCACTGCCTATATTTAGGCTTGGTAAGGTAAGCTGTAGCCTTCAAAAAGATTCTAAATGTAATTTAAAAGACTAGAAAAAATTCTCTTTTAAGAGCCATTTCACTTTAAGGTCCAGTTATGTGCTCCATATTTTAAGTCAGAATTGTTAAAGAATGCTTATTTATTTTCAGTCATTCCAATACACTGACAATGTTCTATCCATATTCACTTCCTCATTCAAAGAACTTAGAAAAGCAAACGCATTGTTTACATATAGTAACGCAAGACTTCCACGCACTTACAACTTTTAACTGTAACCATTAAGACAAAATATCTTTAAAATACTAACCACTTAGAATTCTAGACTAAAAGTGAGTACAAAAACCACTTTCCTAGAAGCAACACTCTCCAAAGCTTAGATGTTTACCTTGTGCCAGAGTACCTGATGGCTATGCTTAGATGTCAAAGCTTTATTACAGGCAAAACATCAAAAAATGACTAATTGTTGCTACATACTCGTTTACAGCATTTTTAAAAATTGTGAAAATAGCCATTCCAATTCAAACATATAGAGAATTTTTTATGACGTAAGGTACCATTCGATCAGCAACGCTAGAACTGTTTGACATTTCATTTTTCCTTTCAACACAAAAATACTTCGACAATACTGTGTATCAATATGCACTTTTAAGCTCCTAGTCATATAAATATCTAATTTTCAACCCGTCTCCATATTGTACCACTGTCAAGATCTTCGTGCATCAACAGCTAAATGGGAAGGACATCTATTTAAAAGAAATGCTTTCTGAAAAATCATATGGCTAGCTTACATTTTTAAACTGTCTAGCCGAGAAGAACAGATAATTTGCCTTTTTCTGATGCCTAGTCTGAGAAGAACAGGTAATTTGCCTTTTTCTGATGCTCAAATATTTTACAGCCACTTGCTCTGACCCTAAAACGTTAACGCTCCTGATTTTATCATTTGATGCAAGAAAAAAAAAAAGAATATGGCTGAAAATTCTTTCTGAAGGATGGTATTTCAAACAAGACCACTCAAAACACTGAAGCCCACGGAGCGGAAGAGAGAGTGGAGGGAGGGTACCTTATAAAACTGCACACTTCGGGCCCTACACGCTACCTCATTTCCCTAATAGGGATGAAAAACTCAGGCCTCCGGTAGCTTCCAGCTGACGCCAATACTCTCCACACCCCTTTTCTTGAGAGAATTCTCTAGCACTAGAGCCTTGTCAAAAATATGAAATTCCATGATCAAGACTAAACGGTCTAATAATCAATCTACCGTCTTTTACAAGACAAAACCCTTCACGATCCCATTTCCTCCCATCTCCCTCGGTAGCCAAACACTCCTAAACCGGTCTTCTAGACCGAATTCTACAAATCCTGCCGCGTATTAAGTGAGAGACAGAAACGATATACAAAATGAGAGTTTCGGCCATTCTCCTCGACTGCGACCGAAATTATAAGCTCCATTTCCTGTCCCCACGAGGGCTGCAAGACTGCAGAAAACCCGAAGCCTCCCGCCCCCTCCAGGCAGGCGCACGAGGCCCCCACGCTCCCCATGCTCCCCCTGCTCCAACCCCGCAGGTACGACAGGGTGGCGGGGGCCGAGGTGCCCTCTCCGCACCCCTCCCGAAACCGGGACCCACCTCTCGGCAGCAGCTTCATCTCCCCGTTTTCCTCACGGGCGGCCTCGCTCGCCCCGCCGAGGCCGTGCCTCCTCCTTTCCTTCTCTCGCTTCTCCTTGGGTCTGCGAGGCTTGGCGTTGGCCGAGGAGGCGGCGGCCGGCAAGAGAGGGTGAGGCTGAGCGTGCAACAGCGTAGGAGGGACCAGCAGTTTGCGCGGCACCGGCTGAGACGAGGAAACAGAGGCTGAGGATGGGACGGCCGTGCCAGCAGAGAAAGAGAAACTGCTCCGAGCAGAGGACGGGGAGGGGGCAGGAGACAGAGCGGCGAAGGTCCAGGACGTGGGGCTGCCATAGCTCTGAGGCGAAGGTGCAGCCGGAGGCTGCAGCTGCCTGCTGTTCCCGCCGCTGCTCCCTTCTCCGTTCAGTCTCCGTGGCGCTTTCTTCTCCTCAGTCCGGACTTTCTTGGCGGACAGAGGACCTGGTGGGTCCCGGGAGGCGGTCTGCAGCTTGCCAAACGGCTCTTTCTCTGGGACGGTGGCGGCGGCTGCTGCGCCGTGCGTTGGGTTCAGCGGCTCCGCCATTTTGCGCTCCTGTTGTATTTACTCTCCTCTGCTCCCGGGAGCAGGGCAGGGGCGGACCCAAAGCGAGGGGCGGGAGGAGGGGCGGAGCGTCGGGGCCACCGGCCGGGCCCTTCATTGGGTGAGCCATCCTGAGGGATCCCTATAGAAACCAGTCAAAGGCGCGAATCTTGAGCCGAAGGGGCGGGACCACCGAGTAGACCCGCTTAGGAGGTCGCTGCTCCACGGGCGTGATTAGTGAGTGGCCCAGGAGAGGTGCGAGGGGAGGGTCTTGCAATTATAGCCAGTGTGAACTCTGGAGGCCGGCGAGTGTCTCGGAAGAACCACCACTGCGGACCCCAAAGGTTGCCCGGGTCCTGGCCGCGCTCATTTCTGCTTCAGTGACTTCGTTGTATCACCTTCTCTTTTTTCCCGTGGGTCCTTTTGGTCCCTCCCTGCCTGTTCGAGCCCAGGAAGCTGCATTTCGCAGATACTCAGCTCGAGGGAGAAAATTTTTCCGGTAATTAAGCTGTTCCTTCTCGTTGGTAGCGGTCCATTGATGGGAGGGGTTTAAAGTCACTTGGTGTTTTGACAAGATTTGTTACTGTTGCTAAAAACGTCACTCCTAAATTTTGAGGGAGATAACTTCTTGCGAACCTAAACTTTGGGATTACTTCTGAGCTTGAAGGTAAGAGTCTCTGTGGATATGTAACTTTTGTCATGAGACCCTTAAAGATTTAAATTTTATTGTAATTATAAGTCAGACTCGCTAAGAAAAATCCGTTTGCGATATTTATAGATGTTTGAAAAGCAAAGTGTTTTTAAAGTGTATTTCAGCGTTTAGTTATCATCTTGAGTGTTCAGTATTTTGTAAGCCTGTACTTTGATTCCTAATTTAGAAGATAAGGAATTTGGGGAGATAGGTTACAGTAATACGGTGGCAACCAAAACGAGGAGTACGTTTTAAATTTAACTCTAAGGTCTCTCTCACATGAGATCGAAAGTCAAAGGAATAGATGGTAAAAATAAAAATAGCCAATACAGGAGATGACCATTCGGAGGGTATTTTGAGTCCTAATAGGGGACCTAAAGTGCCTGTAAACTTTCCGGAAAATAGTTTAAAAGTAACTATCCAATATTGCCAATACTTGTGACTTTATGAGGTTGGATTTTTATCCCCCTGCCTTTTTGTTTTTCCTTTTTAAAAACTATTTGTAGTCAAAATTCAATATTGGTTTATAGGGGTTTTTTTTGTTGGGTGCCTTCAAATTTTAAAATGAAAGTATTCACTTTAATACATAGCAGTGAAAGCAAGTGAAAACTTTGTAGCTGGAATTGACTGGCAGCAGATGTCTTCATGAAAAGTAGCATTTGTGAAAGAGTGGGCAGAGAGGATAGAGCTGGAAATCATCTGCTGCTAACTTTGTGACCTTAGCCAGGGTGCTTCATCTGTCAGAATCTATTTTATTTGTTGAGCGAATTTGATTGCATGATCACTAAGGTCCCTTGGCATGCATTTAAACTTTAAACTCCTGCCTGCCATATTCAAGAAGCTTTTCAAAATTACACTGAAACCATTACAATCAAAGTAGCTTTCTAATTGTTGACCCTCCAGATAGAGAAAACTGTCTTTTAGTTACATTAATGTAGTGCCTGGAAACTTGCACTACTTATTTCCTGATCTCCAACACAGAAGCCTAGAAAATCTGACTACATAAGGGCCCAGCTAACATGAACTTCATCTGTGTGAATTTGTTACTCCTTGCACTATACTGTTTTAAATTTGTAGAGCCTGGGCAAGAATAGCAATGGTGGCTCACATATTACGTGTCCAAATATGTAAGTTATAAATCAGGATGATAAGCTTTTTAAAAAATATATTCTACCTTACTACCTGTACAAATCTACTTAAATAATAAGCCAAAACACCAGGTTTAAATTTCAAATTCTCAGACTTTTAGAGATGTCATACTGACTCCATTCTCTTCCCATTCCTAGTTTCTTCACCTACTACACAAAAAGGGACCATGCATGCATGCAATCGACATGTCCAAGCTTATGTCCACACCTCTCACCCCTGCAAATAGTGATATGTAATCAGCAACTGAGTCTGCCCTTAGATCTAGCCAGTCTGAAAGAGGAGTGCAGGCTCCAGGCAGGCATGGGCCCTTGATAGGCACCTTGCCATTTGCAGCAGAAAGAGGGTCCTTACCCAGGTCTAAGGGAAGTACTATTATTGTAAAACATACTGTTATCTGTTTCCCATGTATTCAGCCATTCCCTTTCAACTAGATCATTCCTAACAACATTGAACTAGGAGAAAATTCTCACCGCTCTTACCAATTCCTACTGGCTTCATCTCTACTAGCACTAAAACCATCTACTACTCCATGTCCACTGTTGCTACTGTATTCCAAGTACCACCCTCTCTCACCTGAAAGACTACACTGTCCTTATTTCTTGTCTCATTATATTCTAGTTTTCTCAAATCTGTTTTTCATTCTACCCAGAACATTCTTTTCAAAACCAGACAGGTCATATCTAGCTATCTATTTTTAACATTTTACGTAGTCTTTTTAATTTTCAAGCCCAGATCAGTCACAGTACCTACTTGGACAGTCTCCGCCCCACCTCTGAAGTGGAAGTCCTTGGGTAATTCTTTAAAAAAAATATGTTATTTATTTATTTTTAGAGAGAGGGGAAGGGAGGGAGAAAGAAAGGTAGAGAAACATCAATGTGTGAGAGAAACATCAATCGGTTGCCCTCACCCACCCCCAAACAGGGACCTAGCCTGCAACCCAAGCATGTGTCCTGACCAGAATCAAACATATGACCTTTGCCATTCCCGGCTCAGTGAGCCACACTAGTCAGGGACTTCCAACTATCATTTTAACTGAATCCCAGTGTCCATGCTAGTGATTCATCCAATATTTTTGCCTCACTGTTTCTTCTTGACCTCATTTCTATTCTGTTTCATCCACAAATTCCAATGGATCCTTCTTAATCTTTTTCATCACTCTTCCATCTCTGAAGTCATAAATGACAGTGTCTGAATATTCGGCTTTCTGACTCCTTGACACCATGCCCTTGCCCTTTGACCTCAGCATAGCTCCCATACTCTAGGTCTTTATTTTTCATCTAATTATGGTTGCTTGATACAGGATACCCAGTTAAATTTGAATTTCAGATTAACAGTGGAAAAAATTTTAGTATGAGTATGACCCATACAATATTTGGGGCATACATTACTTTAAAAAATAAGTTATTCTTTCTTTATCTGAAATCCAAATTAACTGATGTTCCTTTTTTTTCCTGATAAATCTGGCAACCCTACACTAATTACTCTTTCTATATTTTTTCCCTGTCCAACATGGAACCTTTGGTACATGATTTGTACAAAACATTTACCAGCACCTCAGTTCCTCACACTCTGATCTCTTCATCTCTGTGCCACTAACCCCCGACCTCAGGTCATTACTTCTCCCTGCTCTTCTGCATTTAGGCTGATGACCATCTCTTCCATTTAACTGTTGGGGATTCTTAGAGATATGTCATTGCACGTTATCTCACTCTGCATACTTCTTTGTGATATTTTGCATCATAGTATCTTCTGATATAAATGCTAACAATTCCCATGTCTTTCTGTTCTGACTCTTCCAAATGCCAGATGGATGTCACCACCAGACAGAATTATTTTTCACATTCTCTTTAAGAAGTTGGTCTACATACTGCAGCTCATTATCCCAAAGTATAGCCATAGACACCTCAGACTTATAGCACCCATTTCCATCCTCCCATGTATCACTCTCTTTCATTGCTTATCCACCTTATCAATTCAAGCTACAAATCTGGGACTCTTTGACTTCTCTCTTTCTTTCACTCTCCACATTCAGCCAGCCATTATTTCTGGTTCGTTTCTCTTCTCCATTACCACTGATTCTTGCCTTTAGGCCTCAAGTCAGCTTGGATTATGTCAGTTATTTTCTTCCTTACTGGGTCTATCTGTCTCCAGTCTTTCTTCTTCTAAACTATTGTTCATGCTGCTACCAAAATTATATTTCTAAAATATAGACCTGGTAGGCCTGGCTGGGTGGCTCAGTTGGTTAGTTTGTCGACACCATACACCGAGGTTGTGGGTTTGATCATCAGTCAGGACACATAAAAGAAGAATCAACTAATGAATGCATAAATAAGTGAAACAAATGGATGTTTCTCTTTCTGTCTCCCTTCCTCCTTTTCTCTCTCCCCCCTTCTCTCTCTATACATACTAAATTAATAAACGAAATTTAATGTATTGAAAATAAATATATATAAATAAAATATAGACCTGGTTGTGCTTCCATCTCTTTTCAGATGGAATAAAAGTCACACTTTTTAGTGTAGACCAAAGCCTTTCTTTTGGTTTGTGTTTGTCTTTTGTTTTAGTATACATCTATAATTTCTTTATAAAACCGTTCGTTTGGCATTAGTTGGTTACAGGAATAGTAAGATACTGTGAGTGTGGCATAGCAGCTCTAATGTAGCAATTGCATTCCTTGCTTCCTTAACCAAAGTTTAAGTTACCTCATATCCATTATGTACAAGTTATCTGCAATCATTAATGCTGCAAATCCGGATGCATTCACCATTTAGGAAGGAGTTGATGCTAAAGGATTAGAGTAAATGTTGATAAGACTGCAAAAGTTCCTTTATGGGACTTTGTTTCTTCTCCCTCCCCTGAATTACTTTGCTTTAAAAGACTCAGATTACTTAGAGCTAGTCTGAATAGCAGCAGCACCAAAGAATATCACACTTAGTTCTTGTTAAAAAGCAATACCTGTGCAATCCATGTTTTATACCACAAGCAAAGGGAATGAATGATTGCTCTAGTGTTAAACTCCTACATTAGAGTCTCTTAAAGAAATAAAAGCATTCCATTAAGTTCTTCTAGATGGTATTATTGCTGCACATTTGTCTGTGGGACACTTTCTGTGCTGTGTCACTTCAAAGGGATCTTCCAATATATGCCCAATATTCCTTCCTTAAAGTGTCCTTTTGCTTAGCTACGATTTC